GGCTCTCGGTTCAACTCCAGCAAGGCCCCACCACCAGACCTGCACTTTGGCAATACAAACGGGGAGCCATTAAAATGTCCACATGCTACGGCCCAGAGGCCTCCCTCAGAAGAATTTACTGAGAGGAAAGCATGGGACAGAGGAGAAAGGAAAGAGTTCCTGAAGGGGCCAGTTCAGGGTGTACACTCAGGTGGCCTGCGTGGAAGTGCGTCAGGCCAAGGGAGCCCATGAATCACAGCTCGAGTGAGAAAGGGCAGACCACTGATCCATCAGCACACATGACAGTACCCTTGTCATGAGAGCAGATCCGCGGGACAGTGGCCCCAGGGCCCAAGATAGCATTACCGATGGCTGTGTTCAATTTGCTTTTAATGAAGTTGAAATGCCGCTTTTATAACAAAGAGCAATAAAGTGAATAAATAGGGGACCCGAACACAGCTGGTATTTATGTCCCTGGTGGCTCTGGTTCGGAAAGCCCAGTTCCTGAGTCAGTGGTCACAGATGGGGTAAAGATGTTTCAGAAACGTGTGGCCAGGTGCCAAATCTTGGGTTGGGGAAGGAGGTCTTGGTGACACCAGTTCTGGGGGGAGGGGCAGCCATTTGGGGCCTACTCAAGGCCCTGAGGCAGTGCCTGGCTTGCAGAGGGCTGGGAGGCTCTCCTTTATTAGTCCTGCCTTGGTCAACACCAGTCATGTGTGGCCCTGGGGGAAGGGCATCATGGACTTTGGAGCTGTGTCTGCAGCTGCAGTAAAAGTTCCCCTTCTCCCGAGTGACTACAGCCGGAAGGCTCATGTCTGTGCGCAGCTACACTGCTCGCCCTTTGGCTCTGATGTAACTGGGATCACAGAGGGGAACACACCCCATCAGCAACCGGGGAAGAGCCTCCCTAAGGAGCCCACTGAGCAGGTCCAGGCCCTGTTGCCACAGAACATCTGCTCCCTTGGGGCACAGAGCACGGGCCCAGCCTGGAAATAGCTATATAAGGTTGGCTGGGAACATGGGAAAGGCTCCGAGCAGCCAGACTACCTGCCAGGGGACAGGCAGGGTTTCCCTGCAGGCAAAGCCCTGAGCCAGGCGCGGCCAGCCCAGCCCCCACTGTGGTCTTGCTGTCACAGCTGGACAGGCCTCTGTAGTCCCCAGAGGATGACAGCTGTATGCACGCAGGGAACACTGAGGCCTGAAGAGGGGAGGATCTCACACGAGCCGAGGACCCCATGTTCCCATGGCTCAGGTTGAGCTGTGGGAGTGGCAAGGAGAACATTCACCCTGAGTTTGGGAGAGTAGCTCAGGAAGCACACTGCCACTGGGCAGAAAGGAGCCTCAATCCGGGGGGGTGCAAGATGGCAGTACAAACAAGGGCACAGGGGGAGAGGGGCTGTGAGGTCCCCGGCTCCCGCAGAGCCTTGGGGTCCTGGGAAGCATCTCGATGACTTCTGCGGAAGGCTGGGGAGGGGTGGGGGGAGGGGGCCCCATGCCCCCATGTGCTTCACTCTGAGCAGTGTCACTGTGGCCTGTTTTATGCAGCAGGCTCCTGCTCAGCTCCCCTGTTGTACATCCACCAGGAGAAACTGAGCTTCGGCAGAGAAGAAATGGTCTGAACTCACAGTGTCACTGCCAGGTCTCCATGTCAAGGCTCCTTCTAGTGTGCAGCAGTGGCCATAATAGGACCTACATTATCCTCTGGGACCCTCCCCAAAGCCATGAAGGGTACAGAGCATGCCCCACACTCCCAACCTGCCCTCCCATCCCCTGCACTTAGTTAGGGGTCATGGCCAGTTACCAAGCAACACCCTCCAAATGCTGGGGCCACTTGGGCATCCTCTTTATTTGGGTTTCCCAGGTGCTGGTGCAGAGTCCCTGGGCCGAGGGGCTAGGGCTGTGGGGAAGGGGCGGCCATCCCAGAGGCGACAGGTGAACAGGTTGAGTTCTGGCATAAAAAAGTTCTTGGGAAAGACTCCTGTGTGTCCGTGTTGGTGGTGGCGAGGGGAGTGGTGTGCATCTCTTAGCCAAAGACACTCTTGGCGGGGCCAGCTTTGGGCTTGTCAAACACGGTCTCAGTGCCAGTTCGGGTCCGGCTGAACACAGATGGGGCAGTGGTGCCAGCTTGCTCTGTGGAGAGAATGGGGACGACGTGTGCTCAAGTGGGGAAAACCCCTTTTGTGGGTAGCCATCCCCTGAGTCCAGGAGCTCTAGACTCTTAGAAAAGACCCATGGGACACCCCCCCATCCAGCACCCCCTCCTATTGACACACATCTGCATCCCCCACCTCCATCACCCCAAAATACTCACCACACTCCCGCATGACCTGGTACGTCTTGGACTTGATCTCCTGGTTCTTGACTAGGGTCCCTCGGGCCCCCTTCAGATCCTCCTCCTTCACAGGGGGGCGCTTCTTCTTGATGGGGGCTTCCTGAGTGCCAGCCTTGGAGAGCCCAGACTCTCATCTTACAACCTGAGGCCTGGAGGCTGAGACCCCCCTCTTTCCTGCTCGCTGAACTCAAGCCAATTCAAGGCCCCATTCCTCTTCCAGCAAGCCTTTCCAACTATACTTACCCCCGCCTCCACCAACCCCCACCTTGAGTCTCTCTGCTCTTCCCCACAGATTGGGAGCTCTGGGGCTGTGGCCGCTAGGGCCTCACACTATCTGCCTGCCTGGCCAAGCTCAGGCCTGGGCACAATGGACAAAGGGAAAAGGGAATGGTTTTGGAGCTGAATTCCAAGGCTTCTGGTGAATTCCAAGACCTGTTCACAGAAGGCAGGGGTTCCCTTAAGGATTGTCACTGTCCCCCCAAATTGCCAGTATCTGCCTTGTGTGTTTTGGGGTGGGACTGGGGTAGAGAAGTCAGTTGCCCATGAAGTTGCAGTCTAAAGTCGCATCCACCCATAGAGCAGGCAGCAAGGACAACCCTCCCCTTAGCAGGCTGGTCTGTCTGTCCCTCCATTGCCGGGGTAACCAGACTCAGTGCCTGCTCACTCCTCAACCCCAGCTGCCCTTGAGTCTGAGGCCTTACTCTTTCCTCGGCCCTGTAGACAGGCACAAGGACTCCCTGGTCCATGAGGCAACACACTCCACTCCTGCACAGGGATGCCTGAGCATAGAGTTGTACACCGACAGATTCAGCCTCACACGTGTACACATACATACCTACAAATGTGCACAACTCCACGCACCGAGTCATACAAGCCGCTTCCTCACACACAAAGGCACAAGCACAGATCTTGAAGGACCACACATATTTTCCTACCCCTCCTAACAGCCATGGAATACCACCAAACCCTGGCTAAACAGGGATTCCCTCAGGATAAGCTGGGCCAGGGGCTCTCCTACCTGAGCCCCAACCTCCCAGGGGCTACAGAGCTTCCTGTGTTTATGCCTAGAACTCAGCGCAAGACACAGCTGCCAGGGATGACAGTGTGGTTCTCCACCCTCCCAACCCCCACCCCCACTGCACCAACATGCCTGTGATGGGCCCTCCTACCTGGGACATGGTGGGTGCTGTGCGAGAGCAGCTCCGAAGGTGCCTCTCCGGCAGGCAGTAGCTGGTGGGAGAGATCTGAGCAGTGCTCAGCCCTCTGGAACTTATATAGTCCGCTTGCCTGTCCTGGAAGTCACTCCCCCTGCTCCGACAGGCTCCCCGATGATTCAGAACCACACAGCCACTGGCTTCAGAGTTTATTCTCAGAGATGATAGGGGCTCGCTGAGCACTGCTGCCCGGGGGGCTGCAGCCCTGGTGACAGCAGACAGCTGGGAAGACCCTGTACGCTCAGGAACAGCTGTTCTATTTTCAAGTGGGAGGTGCTGGGACTGGCAGCGGCTTGTGTTTATGAATGTAGGCCCTGGAATGTGTGGCAGTAGGAGCTGTCCATCTGCGACAATCTATCCCAGTGTGGGGGTATCCCTGAGCAAGGGAGGGCTTGAGCCAGGCTGGACCTCTTTGAGCTTTTCTTTCTCTTCTTCCCCTTCCCCGGATTCCAGAGAAAAGACACTTTCCATCCCTGCAGGGAAGCAGGGTGGAAGCTTCCTGTGTCTGCCTCTCGGGAGCTTTGCTCACTGAGAGCTCGCTGAGCCCTCACAGTGGACTCAGCGCACAGGTGGACACACGTCAGTGAGGGGAAGCCCGGGGAACTCAGCACATGTGGTCTTGCTGATGCCCCCATCCTTTCTCCGGCTCCCAGGCATGTTTATTAGCAAAGGGACGAAAAAGGCAGGGAGTAAAGCGTTCAGGAAGGACCAGGGAGAAACCACGCTTTGTTGTAAGGGTGAGCTGAGGGCAGGAAACGCACTGAGCCTCTGACTGAGATGAGGTCGCCAACGGGCGCCTGCCTGAGGAATTCAGATTGCTGAAAGAGAGTAGGCGAGAGTGAAGCCCATTCCAGGTACGGAGCTGTGGAGAGGGACAGGCCCCAGGGCTTCCCTGAAGGTACTTAGTTCTCCTCTCTAGTTCCTAACACCCGCATCTTTGAAGGGAAGACCCCTGGGGCACATGGCAGGACTCTAAGGCTGGGCTGGGTGTGCGGAGTGGATGTGGATAGGTCAGGGCCTGCCCCACTGGATCAGACACACCCAAGCTCCTTGTCAATATGTGATGGAGATTATTTTTATGCCTGACGGCCCCAGGCGGACGGAACCTAACCAGGCATTGACATTTGGTTACCCTGAATGCCACTCCACTGCTGTCATACCTCAGACCCCACCCAAATCCACCCCCCCTGCCTTGTCCTGACCCCAGGAGGCCAATGCGAGGACTGCCAGGCTCCATCTGAGACAAGTGCTGACATGAGGAATGTCTTCCGACAGCCATGGGCATAACCCCCAGGACTCCAAACAGGGGCCAGAGGCACTGAGGGAAGGCCTGGCTTGAGGGCACAGCTCCCGGGGTGAGTGCTTTGGCACTGCCCCCATAGCTGGCTCTGCCCAGGGAGGCACGTGCTTTTCAGCACCTGGCCTCGGGGGCCAGGATGTGGATGTTCAGGCCTCATGGCATCACTCCATCTGCCAGCACCACTCGCTCCTCAGGGGAGGTAGAAAAGCTTTTACTCACATCATCAGGGAAGTGGAAACGGCAAGCGTATGTTTGGTATTTTTCCTCAGCAAATTTTGGTTCTTGCATCTGCTATGAGGCGATGTAAGGTTCATTCTCACTCTGTTTCCTAGGGAGAACCTTCCAACCCACTTGGGAAATTTTCTTGACCCTACTAAACTGTTTCAACTCCAGACAACACACAACCAACAACCACAAAGTGATGGGTTTCTTTTTTAAAAAAACCGTAATGTCAAACTTTATTGTAAACCATTTTACAATATAAGTACATCGTCTTCCCTTTCATTTCAAGAATGTGTTTCTGCGAATTGTAATGCCACCCATTAAACACCCCCACTAGGCAGACAGTGGAAGCAGGCCATGGTTTGCTCACATAGATGTGATTTATAATAAACTTCATGAAAAGATAAATCAAATTAAACCAATCCACCCACCCACCCAGGAGCTCAGGGAGCTGACAACGGTTGGGCCAGAAGCCCCTCACCAAGAGCAAAGCCCTTCAGAGCCACCAGTTTCACAGGGTAAAAGAGAGAGCTCTCCCCTCCCAGTTGGAAGTGTGTGAAACTCCTAAAAGCCAGCCCTACACCCACAAGGCAGCTGCTCTGGCCGATGGGACGTTCCCGGTGCCACCTATGTTGGCTGGGCTGCAAAAAGGCCAGTAAATTGCAGTCTGCAGGACAGAATAGGCTGCCAACCAGATGCTGTTCCCTCCAGGCTCCTGGGGCAGCCTTCAGGCGGGGACTCTGGGTGGCAGCCCATAGGCCTACACTATCTAGGGGAGGACACAGCTTGGATTTCCCTTTAGAAGCATGACAGGTCAACGTTAACCCAGGACTTCTTGCTGCCAGGAAGGAGCACAAGCTAAAGCTCAAGGCAGGAGGCCACCAGTGTGCCCAAGGGCTAACTGATGGACCACAGACCTTCACCTCGTAGGTCTTTGGGCTGAGTGGACCAAGAAGTCACTGCTACCCGGGATCTCACCAGCATCCTTCCTCGCCATTGTCAGCATCCCACTGACAGAAAAGGAGATGAGGGCCACAACGACCTCTTCCATTCAGATACGATAGTTCTACCTCACTGGGTTATTTCCATTAGTTACAAGAAACTTGTTCATGACCTTGACTTACAAGTTTCCATCACGAGTGGCTTGGCCAACGTCCAGATTTATATAAATGAGATGGACAGTGCATAAAATCTGTCGGTGTCCCATGGTTTCTCAAGCACAGTGACACTTGCCTTATAGCTGAGTAGAGCTGCACCTTTTAAGGCACCTTGGAGCAGGTGGTGAGGGAATGTGCTTGGAGAGGGAGGACACCAGGAGGAAGTCCTGACACCGTCCTCTGCATCATTCTCTGGGAGCAGTGTTCCACAGAAAAGCCCCCCGTGATGGAGGAGGCACTCCCGGGGAATACAAAGAGTATGCACATGTGCGAGTGCATGTACATAGGAGGCCGGTAAGGCCAAACACGTGAGGCCACGCTGTCCAGGCCCACACGGAACAAGGCCCTCTACGGTCAGATACCATCTTCTAGTTCAGGGGTCGGCAAACTTTTGAGACAGAAGAGCCAATCCTGTCCCTCATAACTTAAAAATTATTCGAGCGCCACAAAACAAATAAAATCACCATTATGTGGATAATATCCTTTAAAAATGTTATAAATGAAACTATGATAGTTTTACTTTCATTTTCAATTCTACTGCAGAGGCACATGTACGTACCCAAAGAGCTACATGTGGCTCGTGAGCCGCAGTTTGCCGACCCCTGTTCTATTAGCCAGCTACACAGCTGTAGCTCAGAGACTAAAGCCCTCACTGACAATCAGAATACAGGGAGAAACCACCACTTACTCGCTACCTCTTTGTCCTCCAAACCCACTGCCCAGTAGGGGCTGGGACGAGCCTTGAGATGAGGAGGTCACCAAAGGTCTATATAACCCAGTTTCCATCGTTCACAGACTGTGGCTCCTCTACTCCCTGTCCCCATGTGGAGACATTAGGAGCTCAAGGCTGAAAGTGAAGCTCTGATTCTGATTTCAGGAAGGTATAGGAAATAGCTGTGGGCGCAGGTTGTTCAAATCAAAATGAAACAGGAGGGAAAATTAAGGAGGGTCAGTGATGCCACGAGGGGCTGATGTCTAACAGAACAGTGTCAGTCCTGGTCTTCCCAAATGCCGATTCTCTAGTGGGGAAACACCCACTAACACAGTCAGGAGATGGGGGGGTGGGGAGGGCATGAATTGAGAGCAGAAGTGATGTGAGAGTGGAGATGGACTCCAGCCTCACACAAGGCATTGCCCACAGATGCCCACACTGCCAGAATCGCCTCCTACTGTAGTTACAGGTCCCGGCTCCTCTCAGCTCTCTGGCTTCTGGACTCCTGGAGAAGACGGGCCGAGAAGACTTCCCCACGGCTTGCCCCACCATGTCCCGGGGGCTGTGCGAGGCAGAGGACAGCCTCAGGATGCCTGGTTTAACAGCTTGGCTCACATACCACAATTCAGACCCAATCTGCTCTAAGCCTGAGAAGAAGGTTCTGGGTGGTTGTGGCCTCCCTTGCACCTGTCTCTCTTCCAGCTCTCACCTTAGCCGTGTGATATTCTGTACCTAACGTTCTATGGCTGCTTCTGGCTATGACAAAACACTGGGCTGCTCCACCTTGCTGCTTTCACAGCAGGGCAAGTGCCCAGGTCAGCCCATTCCACTGCGAGTCAGCAGATCCCCAAAGCCCTTGAGGCCTGTGCCCAGACTGAGTGGGGGCCATTCCCCAAGGAGGGGACACAGCTTAGAAGCACCTCGTCCTGCCTATGGATAAAGACAGCGAGCTCTCTCCCCCTGACCCGCCTCACCCCAGGCACCCCACAGCCCTGGAGTACATGAAAAACAGGGTCATCTGGTCAGTAGACGTTCTCCAGACTCTTGTGCAAAATAAGTGGATGAGATGACAGGCCTGGGCAGCCTGACCTGGAGCTGGGTCCAGGGTCTGGTTCTGAAGGCTGCACCAGTAGGAGAGGCCCGAGGCTGAGACGACATTTTAAACTTCAAATTTAGAGGCTCTGAAGAGAGGCAGGGAACAAACAGGAGTGGCCTCATAGTCTCAATTTCTCTGGACACAAAGACCTCTTAGCCTTCTTTCTTAGTTACATTTAACTAAGACCTCTAACCTGCCAGCAGAAATGCCAAGGAGCTGGTGAGCCCTAGGCATGCACTGGGGCCCTGGATCCACGTTTGGGCCAGCTGCCTCTTGCTCAGGCCTGACCTTTACAGAACCACTGGGTTTGTTGATTTCACAGAAGGGCCCATCTCCCTTCCTACTGTGTTCACTACCTAATCTTATCATAGGTTACCTATTCCAAATAAAAAACTCCTGACTTTTTCCTCCTACCAGTTCACATCTCACAAAAGGCAAACAAACCCATTTCTTTGGGGATTAAAAAGAGTTTTTAAATACAACAGTATGAAAATATAACTTAAAAATATAAAAGTCAACGGCATACGGAAGACTTAAAAATCTATGTTTTGCCCATTAGTCCCATAAGAAATAAACACATACTCAAAAAACATTAACACTGTGACAGCTCATAAAACTGGCTTAAGAAATCAATAGTTATAAAAGCCATTTCGAGTAAGAAAGCACTGCAGTTCCAACTTCGTCAATGAGTGACTTTTAGCCCCAAACATGTTCTATCTCCACTCTCCAAGCTTTGGGGAAAGGCTCTACCCACAGTTTGGGTGTGTATGAGTGTTTTCCTCAATGCCACCCAGCCAGACACAGGACAGGGCTTCTGGGTCCCTCACAACATCATCGGGACAACAAGAAACAAACAAAACGCCTTGCTTGCATATTTGGTCAGTGTTTGTAGTGCAACTGAGTGGGGACCTCCAACTGCCACGGCTCCCTCGATGCTGGCTTGTCCCCCCTCTCTCAAGTCACAGTCGTCTGGGAGTGGACAGAGACAGCAAGAGGATGGAGGTAGAAGAGGAGGGGCAGAGAGAGGAGGGGAGGAATGGTGCTGCAGAGCAGCCGTCTGCTGACCCCGCAGTAGGCTGGGGCCCCAAACCTGACCCCCGGCACAGGAATGTGTCATACAGGCAGCCCGAACCGGTGCTTCTTCTTCACAGGCTTCAGGGGGGTCAGTCTGTGGAGGTCCTCCTCCATGTCGGATTCCTCCATCTCGTCATCGGCCGAGATCAGGATCTGAGGCAGCGAAGAGGCATGGCCCTGAGTCACCGCCAGTGGTGCCAGCCCCTCTAGGAGGCCTGGAGTCTCATGTTTCTTTAGAAGAAGCGATGGGGAAGCCCCCTTGACAGAATGAGATAAGCTGGTCCACCCAGACCCCCTCCATGGGCTCCTGAAACCAGCGCTGTCGACATGCTCTGCGAATGCTCCCTACTTCTTCACCCAACCTCCAGCTGGGACTGAATCCCAGGTAGAGCAGACTCAGCAGGGACCTGCAGCCTAAGGCCATCCTGGCAAAAGAGCCCAATCTTAGCACATGGAGTGCCAGGCCCTTGACCCTGCCTCAAATATAGCAAACCGAAAAGTCCCTTTCAAAAGGAAAAGAAAACATCGGTAGGGCACACACAATGCAGAGGGATTTCAGAGCTTGGAACCAACTTTGTAATTCTGAAGACAAATAGGAGTCCCTGCTTTTGTGAGCCGCTGGAACGACTCGGCCATGCAGCTGGGGCACCTGGGGCATCCACACTCATTCGCTGCCCACGTGCTGGGCTCCTCAGACCTCTGAGAACCAAGGAAGAGCTGGGACAGCTCAGTTAAGGACGGAGAGGCCCAAAGCTCATCCATGCAGGGGAAACTCATTCTACTCCAGACTAGGGCAGTCTTACCACCTCTCCCTGGCAGGGTTTCTTGCCTCCAATCTCAGCCCCTTGATCAAACACTGTCTCCGACTCCCTATCACTTGTACAAACAAACATGCCCCAGTTCCTCAGCCTGGATCACAAAGCACTTTGCCCATCTAGCTCAGACTTTTGCTTCTAGCTTATTTCTTATCATTTCATCCTATCCTCTGGAATACATGCTGATCTGGCCATAATGAATTTCACAGTATTACTCAAACACCAAACCACATGACCGCCATTGCTCACGAGTGACTGCTTGTGTCTGTAACGCTATTTGTCATTCACCTAATGTTTACTGAGCTCTTACAACAGGCCTGTGCCAGATTCTAGAGCGCACTCTCTGTCCTGCCATCTACTCGGCTTTCAAACCGCCCTCCAGGATGCCCCAGAAGTTAAAGAGACTGTCCCAGCATCCTCGTAGGGCTCTGTTAATGCCTCAATCTCAGACTTAGAGCAGAGTGTTATGATAAGCTATTCAGGCATTCGCCTTCACCTCATCCACAAGTCTGAAGGCCTCTTGGGAAGACACTCTCAGCCGTTTCTGTACCCCCCACCCAGTGCAGTGCTCAGCACATCATGGGAGCTGAACAAGGGCTCTAATAAGGCGGCCCCGCCTCACCTGCAGCACGCAGAGGTGTGACGTGAGTGCTGCCGGCTGCCCAGGACACACAAACTGGCCTTGATGCTCCTGTTTACGACCAGCAGTCTCCCTCAAGTCCAAACCTTTAACTTAGGAAATTTGAAAATAAGAGAATGCATTTCCCCTGGGAGGTCTGGCTAGCCTTACATTTTAGAAGTTCCCAGCTGGTTTAGCCAACACTTCCTTTGCTTAGTAGTGGTGAGCAGGGATTCAAACACCTTAATGCTCAAAGCTTAATAGCCACAGGCCAGCCGAGTGGTGCGTTGGTTAAGAGCTGG